GAGAGAGGCAGCTATTTGCCCCAGGACTATGAATGTATTTTGCTACTTAACAGCTGGTCCAGCCATAACAGTGCACTCTGGACACGCCAATGTCTGTGGCATTGACTGCATTGTGGTCTCTCTCCTTTATGGTCATATAGTAAACGTGACACAAAACCACCATAAGAAAAGGTAGTACCAATAAATTCCATATGCGAGGTCATTACAGATTTTGAAATTTAGAGGGAGAGATTGCTTTAGACTGCAGATGTCAGAGGAAGGCTTATGTTTTGGCTAAAAATTGCATCAGTTTGAAACATTTTTCAAGATAGATCTGATATTATTATAACAAAAATGCATAAAATATTTTTTTAATTAATTTATCCTATTGTCAACCAAAAATGTGCAAAACTTTTGCAGCATAGGGTGAATGATCTGTGGTAAAGCTTAATATAGTTTATTTATACCTTTCTTTCCTTTGCTCATTTTTTCTTTCCTAATATTAGTCATTTAGGTTAAGAAGAAAATAACTTTTAAGGGCACACAAGTATGCATTAAAAAATAAACTTAATTTTTTGCCTTTTCTTTGACAAATGGGTTAGCCTTGTGAATTTGAAATTTCAACTTTAATCAACAGTGATTATATCAATAGAGCTAAAAATAAACTATCTGAAATTTAGGTTTTTATGACCTCAGAAGTAATTTAATTGACATATAACATTGTACTAATTTTAGGTGTACAACATAATAATTTGCTATATGTGTGTATTGAAGAATGGTTATCACAAGTTTTGTTAACATCTATCACCAGAGTTACAATTTGTTTTTGTAATGAGAACTTTTAAGAACTCCTCTCTTAGCAAGTTTCAAATATACATACAGTATTACTGACGATAGTTGCCATGCTGTACAGTACATCCCCAAGATTTACTTATCTTATAACTCATTTCACTCACCTTTCCAACCCCTGCCTCTGGCAATTTACCAAACCACCAATCACTTCTCTGTATCTATGAGTTTTTGTTTTGTTTTGTTTTCTAGATTCCACATATAAATGAGATCGCACAGTATTTGTCATTCTTTGACTTATTTCAGGAAGTAAATTTTAAACATTTTTTATGTTTATTATGATTTTTTTCTATTTTTTTTTTTTTTTAGAGAGGGGAGAGAGAAGAGGGTAGGGGCAAAGGGAGAGGAAGGGAATCTTAAGCATGTTCCATAAGCAACATGCAGCCTGGGCTTGATCTTACAACCCTGAGATCATGACCTGAGCTGAAATCAAGAGTCAGATGCTTAACTAACTGAGTCACTCAGGTGCCCCATTCAGGAAGTAAATTTTAAAAGAAATCTTAGAAATATCTATTTTCAAGATTCAAAACAGATTTACATAAAGGAATTAAAAATAACTATGTGATAAGCAACATAGGAAGAATTAAAATGTTAATTTCCGCTTAAAAATTTTTCCCCCAAACAAAAATATAAATATGCTTACAGAACAAGCATTAACCAGTTCTTCAAAGAAAAGAACTTTAACCAACCATCAGGAGGACAGTAAACAGGACCAAAGTCACTCCCTAAAACCTGACTAATGACAAATGCTTGTTGTAGACACTTTACCTAAGAAAACACACATATAAAAACCTTTAGCAATATTGAACATATGAACCCACACTGTCATACAATAAAATGGATTATTATCCAGACAACTCATTATCAACAATAGCCAAATTATGGAAAGAGCCCAAATATCCATTGATTGATGAAGGATCAAGAAGGTGGAATATTATTCAGCCATCAAAAAGAATGGAATCTTGCCATTTGCAAGAACTTGGATGGAGCTAGAGAGTATCATGCTATGTGAAATAAGTCAATCAGAGAAAGACAAATACCATATGATTTCACTCATATGTGGAATTTAAGAAACAAAACAGATGAACATAGAGAAAAAGAAGGGAGAGAGGCAAACCATAAAACAGACTCTCAATGACAGAGAACACACTGAGGGTTGACGAAGGAGATGTGAATGAGTGATGGGCAGTTGGATGAGCACTGGGTGTTGAATGTAAAGAGGGCACTTGGATGAGCACTGGGTGTTGTATGTAGGTGTTGAATCACTAAATTCTATACCAGAAATCAATATTACGCTGACTGTTAACTAACTGGAATTTAAATAAAAACTTGAAACTAAAAAGAAAGAAAGAAAAGGGCAATATCAAAACAGTTTTCAGGGGGAGAAACGGAATTATCTTTCATGTGTAGAGTCAGCAGAAAGTTATTATCAAAAACTAAGGTCTCATGGAAAAATTTGCTTTAAAGAATATAGCAGCATGCTAAGAAATCAAAAACTCAACAAACAAAACCTCCTAGAGTAGGGAAGTTGTGTTGCTGCTGAAGGGCTTACACTTTCCCTTACTCAGGCTGGAACCTGTATTGACTGTTTCATCAGGCTGATGCTATTTGTGTTGCAGATGAAACAGAACCCTAAAGCGTTTTGTTTTATTGGCTTTTATTACTCTTTGCAATAAGAAATGTATTTCCCTTGCCATATGCTAACAGGCCAAATATAATGTCTTGCTATAAAGCTTAATGATCATTAGTATATCCTCAGAAATTCTCTTCCAGCCCTTGTTTACAATGGTTAAACTCTTTGTATGTTTTGGGCAAAGTCCCAGGAAGATTGATTTATTTGGCTACATATGGTAAATGCTATCTTTGAGAAAAGTTCATTTTCCACATTCTTTGCCCTTGCTCCCAAGATATGAAGGTAATAGAGAGAGAGGCAGGGAGAGCTAAGGTCCTCCCGTGGCCCACCCTCTCCACACTACTTCAATTTCCCAGGGTTCCTTAGAGGTTCCTGGCTTAGCCTGGAAATAGAATGGAGAGACTATATCCAGTTAAAAACAAATATAAAATGATTAGAAAACAGATCTCATCAGACTTACTTAGGATATGAGGCAAAACTTTGATTGCACTTTCCCCTAGTGGTTCATTACCAAGATATGGTACACATTGGGGACAGAGGATCTTCCATAGCAACCACAGAGAAAAGATGATGCAACTAGTTCAGGGAACTTTTATCTAATTGATGAAGACTCTGAATCTATTTTACAGTGAGTATTCCACATTTTCTTCTTGGAAGAAAAGAAATAGTAAAACCAAATGACTACTGAAAATTCTGACCTATTGTGCATGAGAAGGCAACCATATTAAGGGGAGGGATGAAAGCTAGTAAACTGGGCTCATTCTTACTTTAGTTCTTCATGCCATCTTTAAAGAAGAGAGAGCCTATTAGAATGTAAGTCGAGAACTTCTAAATTATTTTCTGTTCTTTCTACCTGATTTTCGACAAGTTCAAGAGAACACAAATTATTTTAAGTTGAATTAAAATAAATTATATATTTGGCTCATGGCCAGGACTGGCACAATCCTCCTCTTTGTTGGATGATTGAGCAAAATCTAAGAAGAGATAATTTATGTAGAGATAAGTTTAGGTTTTGCAACTGGATCAAAATATACTCGTATAAGTATAAAATGGGACAGATGCTTTAGCAGTAGAAGAAGGGAAAAATATTGCACTGAATTCAACTCACATCCCTGTCTACACCACCTGGGTGATTTCCTTGCTAAGGGAAGATTATCATAAGTTGTGTTGATATTATGTTAGTGCTCTGAACACAAGAGCTGGTTGTGTTCCTCCACTCTGTGTGGTTTGATCTTTATGGAGCACTGCGTTCTCCTCTAAGCACCAAATGCAGCAGAGAAGCTGAGAAATTAAAATGTGCATGGAAGACTTGGGTAGGTTTAGAAACCAAGGTTGACAAGGCATTGTTTAGGAGCTTTGGGCAATTGCTAAGTGGAAGACTGAGAGGCAGTGTTTGATGGACCCTGGAAGAGTTCCTAGACTCTTGAAGAGGCCTAAGTAAGAGCTGAGTGTGTTGGGTGGACCATCTGCCTGGCCATCTGATCTTCCTCTTTAATGGCCTGAAGCAAAGGATCTGTAATGTAATGTAAGCTGCATTATTGGCAGCAGAAGAGACCTTGCTAAAGTAGAATAATACATTTCAGATTAGGAAACTGGAGGAACAGTATCTAGCATTAAGTATGACGTTGCACTCCAATAGTCCTGGGCTAATAAAACTTTTAAAAAGTAAAATATAGGGGTGCCTGGGTGGCTCAGTTGGTTAAGTGTCTGACTCTTGATTTCAGCTCAGCATGGTCTCAGGGTTGTGTGATCAAGCCCTACATCAGGCTCTGCACTCAGTGGTGAGTCTGCTTGAGATTCTCTCTCTCCCTCGGCCCCTCCCCCTGCTCTCTCTCTCTTAAATAGGTAAATAAATCTTTAAAAAATAAGTAGTAGTGTTCAGAGCACTTATACATCTTCCTCTGAGAGAGTAAGAAACAGAGTTTTAGTTACCTTGAACACATGAAGCAACTCAGGTTCAAAGAGATCAGCAGACCTAACCAAGGGCACCCTGAGGGGGTGACAAGGGAGAGATGGAGAGTGTACAGGTGGGATAATTTAGGCTCTTTTCCAGATTTCTTCCCTGTTGTTTCCATAAAGGTGATACTCAGGGGCACCAGTCTATTATCCTATGCACTTCTCACTAGTGGCTGTTGGCTGCAACCTCAACATGAGGCCATTAGGCAGCCAAACATGCATCATCCTGTACTCATAGTGGAGGGGACTTTGCATCTCTTTGTGAGGAACAGAATTGTGAACACACAATTTCTGCAGTGTGACAAAGAGCACAGTCTGGGCTCACGCATGTACAAATCACATCTCTGCCATTCACCAGCATCATGTATGTGGATTGAGCTTCAGTTTTCCTCCTATGTAGAAGAAAATTTTGCACTGGTCCCTATCTCACTTTTGTTTTCTTGGCCACAACATGCAACAAAGTCATATCACTCCTGATGCTCTCCCAGTTACTGGTATATTTTTTTCTGTGTCCCATTTTTGAAGATATGTTAACCAAATATGTGTGACTCCTCTGTTCTTCTAGTGGAAACCAGAACAGTCAATGGCCATTGAAAACTACACGAGGGTCACCGAATTCATTTTCACAGGTTTGAATTACAACCCCCAATTGCAGGTCTTCCTCTTCCTGCTCTTCCTGAGTTTCTACCTCATCAATCTAACTGGAAACTTGGGTATGATTATTCTGATTCGGGTTGATTCCCGCCTTCACACACCCATGTACTTTTTCCTAAGCCATTTGTCTTTTGTGGACATCTGCTTCTCCTCTGTTGTGAGCCCCAAGATGCTCACTGACTTCTTTGTAAAGAAGAAGGTCATCTCTTTCTTGGGCTGTGCTTTGCAACAGTGGTTTTTTGGGTTCTTTGTGGCAGCAGAGTGTTTTCTCCTGGCATCCATGGCCTATGACCGCTATGTGGCCATCTGCAACCCATTACTGTATTCCGTTGCCATGTCCCAGAGACTCTGTATCCAGCTAGTGGTTGGTCCCTACGTCATCGGGTTCATGAACACCATGACCCATACAACGAATGCATTTCGTCTTCCTTTTTGTGGCCCCAATGTCATTAATCATTTCTTCTGTGATATGTACCCCCTGCTTTCCCTTGTATGTGCTGACAGCTGGCTTACTAAGTTGGTAGTTTTTGTCATGGCTGGAGCTGTGGGAGTCTTCAGTGGTCTGACTATTGTGGTCTCCTACATTTACATCCTCATTGCCGTCATGAAGATCCACTCTGCCAAGGGGAGGCGCAAAGCCTTTTCTACTTGTTCTTCTCACCTGACGGCTGTCTCCATCCTATATGGTACTCTTTTCTCTATTTATGTACGGCCTAGTGCAAGTTTCTCGCTGGATCTCAATAAAGTGGTGTCGGTGTTTTACACAGCAGTGATCCCCATGTTGAACCCGCTTATCTACAGCTTGAGGAACAAGGAGGTCAAAGATGCCATCCACAGGACTGTTCCTAGGAAGAAGTTTTGTAGGGCCTAAATTCTTATGTAGAAAGGAAATTGGGGGAGAAATCTAAAAAGACAGACTAACTGTGTGGATTCCTAAGATTCCAGGCCATTTGCAAGTGTTGGGGGCTGGTTCGCACCCCTTAATCCATTCATCTCTCCACTCATTTAGTCAATCAATGTGTATTCATTCAGCCTTGTATGTGATCTTTTATCTGTAATATACCAATATTATAGCTCACATCTACAGTCCATTTAATTTTGCTTCTCTCAGACAACTCACAGTCCAATTATTTTTAAAAAAGGCTTTATTGGGGCACCTGGATGGCTCAGTTGGTTAAGCGTCTGCCTTTGGCTCAGGTCGTGATCTCAGGGTTCTGGGATCGAGCTGCTGTCTTTGCTTGTGCTCTCTCTCTCTCTGTCAAATAAATAAAGAAAATCTTTAAAAAAATTTAAAAAGCTTTATTATTTAATTTCTTTTTTTTTTCTTTAGATTATTTATTTATTTATTTGACAGAGAGAGACACAGTGAGAGAGGGAACACAAGCACAGGGGAGTGGGAGAGGGAGAAGCAGGCTTCCTGAGGAGCAGGGAGCCCGATGCGGGGCTCGATCTCAGGACCCTGGGATCATGACCCGAGCCGAAGGCAGACGCTTAACGACTGAGCCACCCGGGTGCCCCTTTAATTTCTGTTATTAATTTTTTTTGTCATTCTGCTAATATATTTTCTTTCCCTGCTGACTCCTTGACATCGGAATTTTTTTATTTTTTTTTATTCTTATGTTAATCCCCATACCTTACATCATTAGTTTTAGATGAAGTGTTCCATGATTCATTGTTTGTGCATAACACCCAGTGCTCCATGCAGAATGTGCCCTCCTCAATACCCACCACCAGGTTAACCCATCCTCCCACCCCCCTCCCCTCTAGAACCCTCAGTTTGTTTTTCAGAGTCCATCGTCTCTCATGGTTCGTCCACCCCTCCGATTTCCCCCGCTTCATTCTTCCCCTCCCGCTACCTTCTTCTTCTTCTTTTTTCTTTTCTTAACATATATTGCATTATTTGTTTCAGAGGTACAGATCTGAGATTCAACAGTCTTGCACAATTCACAGCGCTTACCAGAGCACATACCCTCCCCAGTGTCTATCACCCAGTCACCCCATCCCTCCCACCCCACCCCCCACTCCAGCAACCCTGTTTGTTTCCTGCAATTAAGATCAGTGTGAGATCATATGATACATTGACATCGGAATTTAATATGCAGTGTTCTGCGGGCGCCTGGGTAGCACAGTTAATTAAGTGTCTGATTCTTGGTTTTGGCTTAGGTCCTGATCTCAGGGTGCTCAGATCGAGCCCTGCCTTGGGCTCTTTGCTGAGCACTGAGTCTGCTAAAGACTCTCTCTCCCTCTCCCTCTGCCTCTCCACCCTACATTCTCTCTCTCTAAAATAAATAAATAAATCAATCTAAAAAAATGCAGTGCTCTGGGTTTTGCACTCACATCCAGCTCCAATCAATAAGAATCTATTTAAAAAAAAAGATGTGGGATTTTATGCTTAACCTTATGAGTGAAATGAAATCCTTGGCTATATACACTAGTTTTTTGGGGGGGTGACCTTGACACTAAGAACTATGTATGTCTCAGGGACTGGAGATCGATCTGTGTTCAACTCTGACAGGTGGATGGTCCACAGGGATCGTTTAATAGTAATAGAGACTTGTGCTCATCTCTAATGCATTTAACATGGAAAGAGCTTCTGATAGAAGGTGTTAAGCCTGTATCTTTTCAGAATTCAATTTTCTGGAAGATGTTGAGAGGATTATTACCTAAACTTCTGCAGGGTGGGACTTGATTGTGCATATGATGGTGCCTTTAAAACCATGGTAATAAAGTTTATTACCCAGCCAAGAACATACAGAGAAATGCCTTAGTTGAAGGTAGGCTCTCAGTCTAGACCTACCTGTTTCTAGTAAGGTCAGTAGGTTTGTGGCATCACAAGGGAGTTCATACATGCAACTAAATTTCATGGTTATGACTCCATGGCAAGATGAGTGATGGGCAGCCTTTGGGTCTGAGCTCCATCACTGCATATGGAGAGTGGGCACCCACACCAGGGTCAGAGACCCAACAAAGTGAACTGATTCTATCTTATCTTTCTCAATATAGCTTTACCTCTTGATTTTATAGTGAAGACACAAAAAGCAGAGAGTTTCACTGAAGAAATGCATCAGCATTCCTAGGTGACATTATAATATCATGGCTAAATCATTGTAGAAATGTCCTTAGGATTTTAAGGAACTCCTACATCCACCTATTTGCCTAAGATGAATTTAACAAAGTTGATTAAGAAGCTTTTACTGAGAGTCATGACCTGTCTACTATTTAGATAAATAAATAAATGTTCTAAACTTTTGAGTACTTTCTACATACAAAGTGTTATGGGTTATTTTCTATTGATTATTGTACAATGCACAGTCTCTGAAAACAGAAAATTGATCAGGGAGTTTCCACAAAATCATGGCATGCTTTATAGCTATGGGGCTTTAGAGATAATTTATCCTAACCAGATTACTGGCTCAGGGAAAAATGTTACTAACTTATGCTTTGTAAAAGCCCAAAATATGACTTGCTATCAAATGTATTTATGATAGACTCATTTAAAATTCAGAATGTTGTTTTACAGTGAGTTTCCTAGATAGAATAAGATTTCTCCAAGACCATTCATTGGTAGAGAAGCAACATAATATAATAACAAAAAAAATTAGAATTGGAAAATGTCATGCATTCATTTATTCAACAAATAATTATTGAACTTCTTCTATGTGCCAGGCACCAAGCCTGGTGCTGCATACAACAGTGAAGTAAACAAACATCATTCTTGCATCTGTACAGTTTGTAGGATAGCAGATCTAAGATATTTCTTTTGATGTATCAGTCAAGTCCATAATGAGATATACAGAAGTAATATCTACCTCCTCATAGATTATCATGAAGATTAAATTAAAGAATGGATGTGGAATCACTTCATGAACTATAAATATGTTTTGCTGCTTCCCAATAAAAACCATTCAATGAAAACAGCAAAAGTCTGGAACCAGAGTGTTATTGGAAGTATGTCAAGATCTCCCAGTATTGGTGCCTTGGCAGGATCTTGGGATGCAGTACTGGGGAGGGAACACAGAGGCAGCTGGGAAAGTCACCTCCATTCTGCCTTCAAGGCTGCCTCACGCTGCTTCTGCTCCACCCACAGGTCCTGATTCCCATTGTGCAAGCCTCCTCTTCTGCTTTCAGTGATAGCCACTCATCCAAGACCCCACTGTTTTCTCCCAAACCTGCCGGGAATGGCCAGCAATCCCTGTACTGGTGGATGAAAGATTACTCCAAATTTTGCTGAGAAAGAGAGGAGAAGGCAAGAGGGTCAATGCTCAGAGACCCTTTGCTCTTCTTTGCTCCCGCTTTTATTGGTCCTTCAGGATATCCTTATCGCTGTTTCTCAAGCACGTGATGTGTGACAAGGGGTCTTACTTAAACTGAGAGGATTTACAGGAAAGATAAGATATGCTAATCTGGTGTTCTACTGAACATAGCTTAAGGGACAATGCATACATCTCTTAGATCACAGGTTGGCAGTTTGAGCTAAGAAAGCCTTGGGGAAGGTAACTCCCTGCGGCATTCCAACGGCAGAGTGGTCACAAAGGCCTTTGCATTCCAAAGGCCCATGCCCTTCTCCAAAACCCTTCCTTGCCCTCAGCGGCCTCCGTGTTTACATTTTAGCAAGCCAGGTATTATGGCTGGCTTCATGCTCTACATTAACCTCAGCACAAACCTACAAACAGACCCACTTTATTCTAAGCCATCCACAGCATAGTTGAGGCCAGGCTGCAACTTCTGACGAGACTTTAGTAAAGACTGGAGGTAGTGAAGAGTTGTGTGATTCTGAGGGATGATGTAGGGCTACAACATGGCTGCTTTGAGTCTGCAGGTGGCTTGCTTTTTGACTCCAGTAGGGCAATCCCATAGGACAAAGGAGTCCATCCAGGGACCGTTTGCCTAAGGCTTGGCAACTCCTGGAACAACACCACATGTAAGCCCTCACAGTTGGGTATTAAATGAGTTTATCCAACCTGAGTTCACTTTTTCACCTAAAGGTGGTTTCCTGTGGAGTCTCAACCCAGAGTTTCTAATTTAAGGAGAACATATTGAATCAACCAAAATTCAGAGGGGTACCATAAGTTCACACTTAGAAAAGAATAATTTATCCCCAAAGAATCATGTCTTTCAAATATGCCCCATAACCAGTAGAAACATATAAGTGTTTAACTGAAAGAAGAGTTCCACAAAATATGCTTAGTTTTACTACCTGCAGTACATTTTGATTACTCAGTTTCAGGGACTGACCAACTGTGGTCTGGGGGCCAAATCCAGCCTGGCACCTGTTTGTATACAGCTTCCAAGCTAAGAATGGATTTTACATTTTTAAATGGTTGGTTAAATCAATAGAAGAATAATATTTCATGACCGTGGAAATTATTTGGCATTCAAATTTCAGCGTCCATAAAGTTCTGTTGGAATATAGCCATCTTGTTACATTGGTTTTTCAATGGGAGCCCTATTGACATTTTAAGGACTGGATGACTCTTTGTTGTGGGCATTGATGTTTGCATTGCAGATGGTTAAGTCACATCCTAGCCTCTTGCATTAGAGGCCTGTAGCATTCCCACCCTGGTTATTGAATCAAAAATGAATCTAGATGAGCTCTGTGGGGTGAAAACGTGTAAGTCAGAACCACTGGCTTGGGCTTGGCTATAGTTGCTTTGTGACTACAAAAGCAGAGTTGAGTAGTTGTCACAAAGACAGTCTGCCAGCAAAGCCTAAAATATTTACATCGTATATACCTTTTTATGGAAAAAGTTTGGTGACTCCTGCTTTACTTCTATTGTTTCTATTCTATTCTATTCTATTCTATTCTATTCTATTCTATTCTATTCTATTCTATTCTATTCTATTCCATTCCACTACATTCTTTTTTATTCT